TTTATTTTTTTATAACTAATTTATTTATTTATTTATTTATTTTAAAGATTTCTTCAAGATGCAGTAAAACTTTTATCACCATTCGAAAAAATAACACAAAGAATATGTGGAGCGAAATACTGTACTTTAAGCCTTGTTCATCCTTATATAGAATTATTAAAAAAATCATTTGCGCCTAACCATGAAAGTGGGGAAACTTATGATACATACCTCAATTTGATATATGGGCCACAAAGTGAAAGTGATAAAGAAGGAATAGAAGATTCAGATAGTTCAACAAGTAAAGAAGATGAAATTCTATCTGATGGTTCACGTCAACACTGGCAATATGCCAATCGCCAATTTAGACAAAAAATGTGGTTAACTAAAGGAAAAGGAAGAAAAAAAGGTAAAGGAAAAGCAAATAATTCTCGTAGATATAAAAAAAATGCTAGGAAAGAAAATTCTGAAAAAGATATAGATGATTTCAATAATGTTGAGTATTTACCAGCTGCTGATACTGATGGTCTTCTTAAAAAAGTTCAGGCAGCTATTTTCTTATCACTTGATAAGTTGTGGTCAGCACAATCTGATTTGGTTCAAATTGCTACAATACTCGATCCTCAATTTAAAGATTTCAAATGGGATAATACGGGTGAAGAAAAAGATGCGTCACTTAAATTATTGCAAAATCAATATGATTCTGCAAAAGATTTTCAAACCAGAGATGTCCATGATCAATCAACTCAACAAACAACACCTACTTGTAATAGTACGGATGATGATGATGATTTTTTTCAAGCATTAGAACATAAAGAATCAGGCAGTACATTTTTAACTGAGGATGAAGTTATACGTTATATAAGGTATCAGCAAATAGATGTTGATCAGCATCCTTTAGAGTGGTGAAATATAAACAAAAATGAGTTTCCAGTTTTATCACTACTTGCACTAAAATATCTATCAATTCCCACTACATCTGTACCCAGTGAGAGATTGTTCTCAGATGCGGGTAATTACATCTCTGCAAAGCGTACTCGACTATCTCCAGACTTGGTTAACCAGGTTTTGTTTTTAAAAAGAAACAGTGAATATTTTAGTATATTCCGACCTAAGGAGGTATAAAATAACTATTGCTTATTAGGTCTATATATATAAAGTAAAAACATTTAAAATGATATTATTTAAATATATGAAATATAAATAATTTCAATTTTTTAGAATAGTCAGATCCTTCTGTAATTACTCATTTTGGGACAAAGATTTGTGTGTTTATAAAAAGATTTTTATTAAGATGTGCTTATAAAGAGATTTTTTTAATACATTTATTTATAATTGGTTTTTAAATAGATATGCTTATAAAGAGGTTTTTTGTACGAAGCACTTATAACAGTGTAACTATAGAGGAATCTGACTGTATATTGCTTAAGAACATTTTTTCACTAATAAATTTTATGAATATTTGTGATGAAAAGTAATTCAGATTGTTATTTGATCAATAATGATAATATATCTTTTATGTATCATAAATAATAAAACTAAAGGCACTCTCAAGCAACTCTCTCAATGTGATTTGAGATGATGCGATCATTATTTAGGGTGCTCTTAAGCAACACACTCAATGTAATCAGCTAGTTATAGAGATCATGTGCAAGTACTATGATTAATTGAAGTAATTCTTATAGTAATTATACCAAAGATTCATGTTAAAAATGCGGAGATTGAATTTTAGCCAATCAGCACAACTCTATGATAAGAAAAGATGGTCTCTGACTAATGATGCCTGACGAAACTATTTTGCACTGACGAAATGGTTTTGTCAATAGTTTTGTCAAACAAAACTTGACGATATGACATAACTACTGACGATTGACGTAACTACTGATGATTGACAAAACTCTTGATGAAATTAATTTGACTAATAAAATATAAAAATGTAGTAGACTATCTTTCAACAAGCTCCTTTATTATGTCCTCTGGATATTCTGAATCATAAAATTTTCAAAATTACTGTTATTTCATCAAAAAGTTTCATCGGTCCTTTCTTTGTCAAACCCATCGGATACATCCGGATGAGTACTGCCAGTCATTGGGAAATATCAGATAAATATATCAAAAAACATAACAAACTGGACTGATATAATAATGAAAAAAAAATTAAATTTACATAGACTAATTTATTTCTATTAACTGGTTTTCAATAACTTCTAAAGAATAAATCCTGTTTTTAAAATTTTTATATTTTTCATGTTTCGTCATGAGTTTTGTCATGAGTTTCGTCATTCACACCCTTGAATTTGTACTAGGCTTGTGATGCAAATTTACTGAACTACGAATCAGATTTTAAGATCAATTGCAACTAATGATGCCTGAAGAAACTATTTGACGCTGACGAAATGGTTTCGTCAATGGTTTCATCTAACGAAACTTGACGACTACGAAAATCTTGATGAAATTAATTTGATCAATAAAATATAAAATGCAGTGGGCCATCTTTCAACAAGCTCCTTTATTACGTCTTCTGAATATTCTAAATCTTAAAACTTTAAAAATTACTGTTATTTCATCAAAAAGTTTCGTCGGTCCTTTCTTCGTCAGACCCATCAAATATATCTGGGTGAGGTATGCAAATCATCGGGTAATGTCGAATAAATATGTCAAAAAACATAACTGGGCAGATATAACAATGAACAAAAAATTAAATTTATATGGATTAATTTATTTCCATTAACTAGTTTTCTATAACTCCTAAAGAATAGATCCTGTTTGTAAATTTTTCTTATACTTTTCATATAAAATTTATGTTTCGTCATGAGTTTTGTTATTCGTCACGAGTTACGTCATTCGTCATTTGTCATTTCGAAGTTACCTGATGAAATGGTTTCATCATTCGTCATGACGAAAGGGTTTCGTCATTCGTCAGGCATCATTAGGTGAAACAAAGACAAAATAGCTATTTTTAGCAGTATACATTAATAAATTATAGGACTTTAGTATATTTAAATACTTACAAACTCTGGACCAAATCAATAATACCAATAACTCCTATATGTTCATTCTCCAACAGCAACTAGAGGCTGTTGGAAAATAAACTAGGTTTAAATAATTAATTTATTAATGATGCAATTATAAATGAAGATTATACGTCATAGTATTTCAGCATCGGTAGATGCTGAAATAAGTTATAAGATTAGTCAGATAAGTATCGATTTTAAAAAGCCTTATGCCCCATGGGACCATATAATCATGTGCAACCAATTATTTTCTCGCCACATATAAAATTTATTATTCCAATAAGTTTCGTCATGAGTTACATCATTCGTCATAAGTTACGTTATTCGTCATGAGTTACGTCATTCGTCATGAGTTATGTCATTCGTCAATTTGAAGTTGCCTGACGAAATAGTTTTGTCATTCGTCAGTGACGTAAGGTTACGTCATTCATCAGACATCATTATCTCTAACCATCTTTTTTTTCATTGCAATAATGAACTTGCTTGACCAAATAATTTGTTTTCCACTAATTAAAAGGTTGAGCTCCAATCTATTGATTTGGGTGCTTAAAGCACCCTTAAACAGACCATCATTGCTTTATTTAGCAAAAAATATAACTATTGTTTCAAATAAACAATACAACTCTTTTGGCAATGCTCTAACAATTAAATGTAACTTCAATATCAAGTTTCTTAATTTCTCCTTGATGAATTTACAATTCACGACTTTTTGCATCTTTAGCTTCGAACAAACCAACGCAAACAATAATGAAGTATTTGAATACAGAGTTTTTTGTAGTAAAAAAAAAAAA